CAGTTTTTATGTGACAAAGGCATGTAATTCTAGCAGTCTTACAGCGGCTCAGCTCACCCATCATCTCCAATTCCTCCAAAAACTCTGTGGGAAATTCAGGTGCTTTCCAGCTCTCTGAATCAGTTCCACAGGGTTTGTTGCATTAAATCCAGACTACAAGGTTAAAGTTACATAGATAGAAGGGACAAAGTGCCTTATTCCGGGTAGGCTCTCAAAATCAGATCAGCTGTCAAAAAACTGTTTTGTCCTGAGGAAAAAGGTGGTGGAAAGGGAAGGCAGAGCACATTTTAGGGCCACTCGGGAGCCCTTTATGTGGGTTGTGGCCATTTAGTCTTCAATAAAACATGACTGCTTACCATAGCAACCACGTCAACCCCCTTCGAGATAGCCATTGCTTTAATAAAGACGGACATTCACTGAAGGAAGTCTAACAAACACATGTAGACCTTTTAGAGTGCTGTACAAGAAAACAATCTCACTTGAGAAGCAGATGTGTTTTCCCAGGAAGTGTGTAAGACTTAATGCAATATGCTGCTAGCTTTCCATGCCTCTGCTGCATGCTTGCTCCTGGGAATTGCTATTATTTGGGTGTTGCAGGCAGGGGACCACAACAGCGATGGGGTGGGTATTTCACATGGCCCTGCTACCTGTGCTGCTGGGGAAGCTCATCGCCCAGGATATTTTGGATCCTTTCCCATTAAAGATTCTCCCAAACTTCCAATGTTCACACCAAGTCACTGTTTTCCTCAGATCTTGTGCCTGGTAGGTACTTTCCTGAAATACACCCTTTTGCTTTAATCCATGCTTAATCTTACAGAAAGATGCAAACAATTTTGAAACATCTCTTTGCCTTGGGAAGTCTCAGGGGTGTTCAACAAACTCTTCTGTGGCTTTTTATTCATGTGCCCCAAAAGCATGCTGTGGTCCCTTCCAGTAAACAGGTTTGGATATGAAATGCTACTGGATCAGCCTCCTGGAAAGAGGATGCTTTGATTTGTAAAATGGGAAAGAAAATGTTTATCCAGGAAGTATTAGATTAGTCACAGATTAATTACAATTGTCAAGTATTATTCATCTGTAATAAGAGTGAATTCTTCACTCAAGATTCATAGCAAAATAACATTATTTTTCAAATAGAAGTAATTTAAATTGAAGTAAGACCTTCTAATACCACCATCTGTACAAGTAAATTACTTTCAGAGTAATTAAATATGCATATCTGGGCTGTGTACTGTACTGATGAACCGAGTTTTATGGAAGCAATATGCTTGAAAATCCCTTAGGTATTAAAGATGAAGAATCCATGGCATTTTGCATTCATATAACCATGAATAAGAAAAAAACCATTTTTCTGTTGCATAATTTTGGGGAATATATTTTTATTAACTTTTCCAGGTTAATTAATATTTTTGCCAAATAGCAAATACGATCATCATATTTATTAGTCTGACATTTCACGGGGACTTAAAGCTCTGTAAGAAATTTTAGCATTGTATGTGTCTGAATTTATGACTGTGACACAGTCAGTCATCTTCTGCAGGTTCCCAGGAAGCGGAGCAGTGCGGTGAAACTGAAATCATTATGTTGACTGAATTCATTACCGCTGGACTCGCCCCTCCATGAAATAGCACTGCTCAGCCAATTGGGATTCATGGTCACAGCCCTTCATGGGATCATCAGGGTTTATAGTCCATAACAAATACAAATACAGACAGGAACAATAACAGTACAATACATGTGATCTATGATCCCACCTTGTGAGACTGTCGTGAGTACCAGAACAGTGACTGGCCACGTGTTTGTATTGTGTGGATGAACGGGACAGTTGCGCAGGGAGGAGAAGCTACGCCTCAGAACACAGTGCTGTCAGCATAGTCTTTGGTGACTAAAAGCCATCTTTGTGCTTGCAGCACATTGTTCGTGACTTACATAAAGCATTGGTGTGTGGGGTAGCTTTGGAGGTTTGCTGAAAGACTCTGACCACTGCAGAAATCTTTGGTTAAAAGAAATACCTGAAACCAGTTCTGTGGAGCACTTCAGAAGTCTGAAATTCCAGCAGATCAGCCCTTTCAAAGCAGCAAATACTGTGGTCTACATGTTACCAAAATGGAAGAGCGAACTCAAACATAGAGACACACAGGCAACACAGTCTCTGTTTGCAAGTCAGCCACTTCATGCTGCACAACATGACTGATCCTTAGATATGTCAATGTAATGTTGCTAATGAAACATGTAGAGGTTCCTTGTCATCAAGAGATTTAGTCTGCCTGCAGCACTTTCACAGTTATCTCCTCAGATTAACTGCAGAAGACTAGCAGCACATGTAGGACAATAGATCAATTCTTTCTGCACCCCAAATGTAAAATAAGAAATGGTGACCTGAAACACAGATAAAGAGGAAATGATGAGAGCTTCATTTCTCTACTCTAAGCTCTGTGCTAAAATGTGTGAACCAGCATGTTGTTTCACCCCTTTGGGACCTGCTTATATGTATCTTAGATCATACTTTGGATAGATGGAAAGTGAATGTTTATGTAGCCAAGAGGAAAACCATTAGAAATGTGTGACAATTGACAATCTGGGAGGTACTGAAGTTTGAATGATATAATTTCTGACCTAGTGTGAGGTAGTAGTTTAGTGACAGATTCAGCTGCATCTAGTCTAATAATGCACATATATTGTGCTGGAGGTAGCCTGCATGAGCTTTCTTTATTTTTCTTCTTTGAGTGTCTCATCACCTTCGTCTCTATTCTGTTCCTGAACCTCAGTTCATGCCCAGCAAGCAGACCCTGGCATCTGCACATGCTCTTTTTCCAGCAGTTCGTTTTCTGGACATAACACTGGAAGACTTAACACTTTTTTTTTATCAGATTTTATGTGAGGCTTGAACGAATACAAAGGTGGGAATTTGGGTGTGGATGTGCTGAGTGAATCCCTGACAAACATGCTTTGGCAGGTAGCTGTGTGGGATTGCTCCTAAGAGGGCTGTGTATAAAAGACTTCTATAGTACTCCTGTTTTTCAGGTCAAGGTTTGACCTGTAATAGACAATATACACATAATACTTATTGCTTTTGGGCAGCAAAGTACAGGTTGGAATTTAGGACAGCCCTATAACAAGAGCCCAGAGACATATGCAAAAGAAAATCTATGTAATCAAAAAGCAAAAAGTGAAATGTGATTGTTCAGCTTCTGAATGTTTGCATGTTTGTGACCTCTTTGCCATGTATAAGTCCGGGTTTATGCTAAAACATTCTCAGACCAGCATTATTAGCATAATGTAGCGCAATTCCCAATGCTTTGAAAGTGAATCTTCCATGAGTTTGAAAATGCCAAGGTAGGACAAGGACATTAAAATCCTCCTTTATTCCTGTATAACAGTGTCTTGTGCTCAGGATGTCTCCAATTCTCACAGAGGCTGGAGCATTATTTTCCATACCCTTTCCCCCCATTTAGCTTCTAGTTACTTAGACAAAATTGAGGTAACTTTTTTACTTTTTTACTTGCCGTGCTTTTAAAGCTTTAAAAGCTTTTGCTGAAAAGGTACCTATTTTCTTATCACTTTTTTTTCCTCCTTACTCCAGAAAAGGGCTTAATTTGAAGTTCTTTTTTGGCAGCTGTATTTCATTGTGATACATCAGTCACATGAAGATTTTATGGAAAAAACATACCCTTTTTAGATGTCCCTCTTTGCAACCCCCTTCAAAACATGGTGGGGTTTTTTCAAGAAACTCAACTATCAACAGCATCATGATTCTTGAAACATTGTGGGTGTAATGGCTTCATCTTACTCAATTATATAGATGTTACTTAAAGAAGGACTGTGGAATTTAACATGGTGAATTTAGTAATTCTAAAAAAAAATTGACCACTTTCACCTTTTATTGACGTTTACTTTTTAGTCTTGAGCAAGGGCTTATCTTCTTTGTAACCAAGCTAATCCTATGGTGTTCCTTATTTTACCATTAAATGAGATACATTCTGAATTCAGATGAAAATGAGGTACCTTGATGAAAGTGGGCTTCAGGTGTCGCACACTAAGCATTGTACGTTTCTCTTTGCTCTGATCCTCCAGCACGCATAAGATTTCACCTCTTCACCTTTGAACAAGATTGCACTAACTTTGATCTTTTCTATTTTGTTCAACTCCAGGGAAGGAGCAGCTACTTGAAAAATGTTATCATTTAGACGTTCAGAGGTTCTTAAAAAAAAAAAAAAAGGAGGGAAAAGAAAAAAACTTGAAAGCATGAACTAAAAGCTGTAGATTTTTAACTTGAGTATCAGCTTTTGTAGCTAGTACGTTATGGTTTAACATCAAAAGCTGTCACTATGTAGAACAAAACAAAATGTAGATTTTAAAAGCACACAGAATTATTAAATACAAATTTCATTTTAGGTAAGCATTTTTCTGCAGTAGTGATGTGGCTGTGCTTTCCCAGGTCAAAGCATAAGCTTTGTGTTCTTGCTCCTTTGCTTACGGCCTAAGCCTATTACTTGAGCCTCTGTATTTTTATGATATTAATTCATGACACTGACAGTTAATCTATTTTTATAACTGTTCTTATCTGAGCAAAATAACAAACTAGGTTCTCCATTCTCTTTGAGTCTGAGAGTATGTAACAATGGGGAGCAAAGGCAAAAGTATGATATTTTCAATATCTTACATGGTTTAACAATATTCTTATAATGATTATCACCCTGTGCCAGTATGGTAGTTATTTGCGATTATTTGGGTGTTATTTGCAATTATTTGGGTATTATTTGGTTTTGGGTTTGGTGGGTTTTTTTGCTATTACAAGACAGGTTTTCACCCAAATACTTCAGAATTTTAAATCACAGAGGACTATTGGGGCTGTACCAGCCCCAGTGTGGCTCATAAGTCCTAGGAAGTGTAGTCAAAATTCTCATCTTAATGATTTACATGTTTTTCCATTGGTTCCTTTTTCTTCTTGCCTAGTTTTCTTGGGCTTGTGTTATTTCATCTCTGTCTTCTCTGCTGAGACTGCAGTTGTTCAGGCATGCTCAGGGATGCTTGTGGTAAGTAGCTTTTCCTTTATTTTGAGGTTTGGTTTGCACAACAGTACAAATGGGGACAGTTTCCCCCTTCTCGGATGTGATGCTTATTGCATTCACTTCCATTAACAAGCTGTTGGAAGCAAGTTAATATCACATTAATTTACTCTTACATCTGATTTTTCCTGCCTGTTCTAAGGCTTGCTTAGAACAGATCATCTCCTAGATAGTATCTCATAAAAGGTCTGAAGTCCCCTCCCCCCAAAAGTGGAATTATGTTATTATTAATTCAAAAGAATTATATTTAAGAATATTTATATCACACTGAAATATTAGCAACAAAGAAATAAACAAGATGTTGGCCTACAGGCAAAATTATTGACAGAGCTAATCTCTGCAGAGATCCTTGATATGGTTACTTACCAGGACCAAGTAATATATTATTATTTTTTGAGGCTAACCAGGTAACTTGTTTTGAGATGTACTTGATTTTCTAGCCTTACCATCTTGTACATCTTCTACAGGTGAGCCCCACTTACAAGCAACTTCTACAGTAGCCAGTGTCTCATGTCACCAACTGACTGCCAGCTACTCTAACACCTCTGTGGGAGGGTTGTGATAAAGCCATCTGGACTCTTCGGTAATACAGGACACTGGCAGCTGCAGCAGAAAACTTCAGGTTCTCTAATGACTGTGGGGTTAGTGCCAGTGTAAAATCAAAGTGGAAATGGCCTAAAGCAGACGTACTGAAAGAAAGATTAGTCACTGCCATATGGGGGAGAAAATATGACACCCCGTGAAAGCGGATCCTTTTAGTGTTGCCCAGGCACCCAGTACTGCACTGTGTGGCCAAAAATTACCTGTGAGCAAGACACAGGCTATTGTTTGTAGACTTCAGGGCCAAGAAAATCCTCTCATATCTCAGTGTCTGCTGGCTGTAGTTCCAGGTTCTGTCAGAGCTGTAGGAGCAAGCTGTCTGGTTTCCTTCTCCGGAAAGTTTGCAGCTGCTAGGAAGTACCCCCAGGAAGCACTGGCATTGCCAAGGCACTGAGCACTGGTGACAAACACATAGATTTGTGGGGGTTTGAGGTTGATGTCCCTATCTAGGTTTAATGACATCATTCCACTCCACTTAAATGCTTCCATTTTACTAATTTTTCCAAATTTTCAGTGTGCAAATCAAAGATTGCTCATTGCAGCACAACACAGAATTTTTTATGTGATACGTTATGATTTTTATTTTCCTGAGTATATGCAAAACAGTATGGTTGTAGTATATAGGACAATACCTATCTTAAAGGAACTATTGTCTAGTTATATTATCTTTTAGAGTAGTTGGTGGTTAAAAGCTGTCCTTATTGCACCGAGGAAGTAAAATCCACACTTGTTAGGCTCTTATTTCATCCTCTTTCCTATAGCCTCACCTTTTTGGCCCTGCTAACTTCCATGTCCGTAATGAACTCCATTTAGCTTCCCTACAGCAGGACCTTGTCTTTGTAAATCACTGACCCAGCGGCATGAAACTGCATAGGAGAGCAGGTTATTTTTTTTTCTAGATTTTCTCTACTTCCTTCAGCAGTTGTAGCTTCTAAGAAACTGCAGAACAAACAAGTATAAAAGATCAGGAAGATGGCCTGAAAAAATAATGTTTAAAAGAGGTCTCATTGTACTCAGTTCTCCACTAGCTGCCAACTATAGACTGATGGCTGAAATCTTAGAAGGAGTTAATGAGATTAGGTCTTTGGTGACTGATTGCTTAATGCTGTCTTCTCATTCAGTGGTGTAATTTTTTTTTCTTCTTTTCAGTAACTATAAATAAACTTCTCATGGAGATCAGCTGGGACCTCGTAGCAGAAATCTTATTTAAAACAACTGGAAATTACTTCGCCTGGGCTTAAGCCACAGCGTAACAGATACCTTCTCCTCCTCCAGCCCTGCTGTGAGTCAAAGGCATTTTCTGGGCTATTACTTTCCTCTGTCATTACTTTCCTGTGCTGAATGACCTTGAACCTCTTCCTGTTGCCCCATCTTTGCTTGGCTCAGCGTGCGCATCCCTTGCTCTTTGTAAATATGCCTGCACTTTCGCCTTTGCTGTACTCCTTTTTCTCCACAGCTGAAGGTATTGGTCCTTTGTCAGGCATTGAGACTCACATGTTTTAGTTCATAGATGCCTATAGTATTTTTCCATGCTCTTGATAGTGAAGATTTTTTTTCACCTTATTAAAAAAATGTTGGTATTGTCAGATGCACAGTACTTGGCTACTAGTGTGTTTCTCAGGGCTAATTTCTTTCTGCTTGCAGAGCAAGGGCAAATTAGGTGAAGAGGTAGAGTCGTAGCATTTCGTAGTTGTTTTGCTGGGACATAAATTTCCAGGTTTGTGAAGCAGGGGAGAATCAGCCCACTGTGACTCATGGCACAGTTGGAAGAGCCCAGCTTGGGTTGTGTGTATCCGTACTAACTGGGAAAGCTAAAGTGCTAATTGATGTTGTGACCTGCTTTAGGTCAGGTAAAGGTCATCAGACCCCTATAAATGCTTAATCCCTCCCACGGAAGCTTTGTGAGATTCCCCAAGATCCTACCAACACAAACTATATGTTTGGTTACATGGAGAATCTCTGCAGGAAGCAGAGAGCTTGCAGACTGATGGTAGAGAGGCATGGGGATGGCAGTGGTGTCAGAGGGGCAGTGAGGCTGGGATACCTTCTAGGGCACAGTCATGACCTTATGCGCTTTTTTTCATGTTAAACACCATGTAAATACTCCTGTGAAACAAAGCTGCTACTTTTTGCTACCAGTCATTTTCCCAATATTCAACCTTCTCGTAAAAGGTTGCATCAGCCTTTCCTGATGCTGACCACTATGAAAGATTTGAGCACAAGCTGAAAGTAACGGGTTATAAGATGGGGCAGATACAATACTGAGCACTGTGCAATTTCCAGCTGATGTGGTGAACCCAGTTCATACATTCAACAAGGTAGGCTAGCACATACATAACCTAAAAGCATGTCTTGCTAAAATATAGGGGCTATCTGTGTATACAAATGCATGTACATGCTGAAGTGCTCTGCTGGGTCAAGGCCAGGATGTTCAGCAGTGTGCAGGCTTAGCCCTTCCAGATGTCTCCAAAGATAAAATGGAAAGAAAGTGACAGTCAGTCCCAGTAACATGGAACACAATCCAGCTTTTAAAAGGCTACTTCTGATAATTAGGTATTTTGTGTACTGTGGCAAGATGCGAATTACAAAGCCACTAATAATAATGTAGATCAGTCAGGGTAGCCTTGAAATTAGACCCCTAGCAGTGAGGTTGCACTGTATAATGATAGTACAGTACCATTTGTTTCAACACATTTAGCACTTCAGAATGGGATTTTTTTGTTAAACACCAGATGTTCTAGTGACCTGAGTGCTGACTTTCAAAGAAGACACAATAGAATAGTGTGTCAAGGTCAACAGCACAAATTAATCTGTATTATCATGCTGTCATATTATACTGTATGTCCCATATGAGAAAGATCTATGGCTAGTGCTTTCCTTACATGCAACTGTATGGGGTGTTTCAGTATGCAGATTTTGAGTTTCCCAAGCCCTCAAAGCCCCCTGAAAGAAATCTGATTCTTGCTTCAATAGTTTAAATTGTAAATGTAACATTCTTACAACGGGTGAGGAATGTGTGGGAATGTGTCTGTAATCTCACAGAACCAGAGAGACGTGCAGCAGCACAGTGAGAATTATGTCTGTTAATTGTAAATTCTGCATTTAAGGACTTTGGAATAATAATCTGGGTAGCTTGGTTGTCTGCATTTTTCTCTTGACTTAAAGATGTGGTAGGGCACAAATGAATAATCATTTACAAACATTTTAAATAATGGTTTGCCTGAAATAAATGCTTTTGTCTCCATGAGTCTCCTCTATCCCTCCTCTTCCCTGCCCTGTGACTTCTAAGCTATTGCTGCAAGATGGCAGGATGTCAATGCCCCCCAAATTGAACCTGTGATTTGTTTTTCTTTGATTTATGGGCTTGTAGTCAATAAACTTTATAAAGGAAAGTATCAGACTGAGCAATCAATCAAAGATAAGCAGATTCTTGTCCTTTAAAAGCATTTCACCCCAGTAAGCAAGGGCCTCATTCATCTTTTACAACCACTCTTGCAGCTTTCAGCTGAGAAAGGACTCGCTACTGACTACGTTCCCTTCTGCTGAAAAGTCCCCCATTCTTGCATCTGAGCTGAGATTTTTAAAATTCATTGCAGCAGTACGTTTCCCTTCCATGTTATTTGCTATCTCTAAAAGGGCAGATGTTTGCCTGTTTTTACTAAAGGTAAATCTCCTTGCTGTGTAGAGTGGAAAAGGCTTATGTTTTAAAGCGTCAGAGGCATGGACTATTGTTTTGCAGAAACAGTATTCATTTTCTTTGTTGCCTTGCAAAACAAAACATAAAGGGTTCCCGTTTGTTTTTTCAGTAGTATCTGAATTTCCTTTGGAGTAAGGCAAATGTTATTCTGCATGTTTTGCTTCTCTGAAGCACAGATGGTGTGCATATGCAGATTGGTGATTTTTTAATCAAAACAGTGACACTTGGGAATATATGTAAGTATTGTAATAATGCATTAGTCAGGAGTGATGTTGTAACACACTGAGATCATACACATAAATCTAAGACACCATGTCTAGACACCCCAGGGAAGATGGCATGCCATGGGTTAGAGCAAGCATTAAGGAAGTGCAATATTTCAAATATGATGGGAAAATAATGTAATTTGCAGACTTTAATAAAACCATTGGGGAATTAATTTCACTAAGGATATACTCTCTCCCAAAACATCTACGTTTCTACATTTGCTTCATAGATAATCAGAACGCAAGACACTGTACCTGCTATCTCAGGCATGAACACAGTACGATATCTATGAATTGTGCCATATCTTTAATATGCTGAATATGAAAATAATCCCTTTACAGTGCTTTAGTAGTATAAAACTGCATTATGCAAACAATGCACAGACAGCATAAACCTTGGAGATTCAGAATTTGAAGAGCTTATAAATTAATCTCATAAGTGTTGATTTGGTCATGCTCAGGGAGTGTGCTCAGCTGTAAAACTTGACTGACCTAACCCTCCCAGTTTTAATTATTAGCTTTTTGATTATAAAATATTAAATGAAGATGTGCGATTTATGACTTTTGCATGTATAATTTTCCTTTCTCTGAAAAGATTTTTTCTTTTTTTTTTTTTTAAAGAATCCTCGCTCCCTTTGGCTGCTTTTGGTTATTTTGTTCTCTCCATATAGCTCTTGGTATATAACTTTAATCAGCCAACCTCCCTTTAAATTTTTGCCAGCTGATAACTACTCACAAGCAAGTAACTTGCAGTACCATGCCAGGAGTGTTGTGATAAAAATGTCAATTTAAACCTGGCCAAGGATGACAATCATAACTATTTCCAAGTGAGAAACTTGAACAGAATACATAACACAATAATACTTTTTTCTTTCTCCCAGTGAAACATGTGCAGGAACCTGAGAGGTTCCTTTGACCCTTGCAGTCAAAACCCCATTTAAAATTTGGCTACATTGGTAGCTCCATCAACCTCATCATCTCTTGTCATCTAAAAGATTGATGGTAGAAAATCATCAATACAACTGAACATTTTCAACTAAAGTATCATCAAGTCAAATGTAAGCCATAATCAGTCCTATTAATCCTGCAACTATAGCAATTAGTGAGGGAGCTCACGTTTTACAAATAGTGACAGTGGTTTATAACCTGACCAACTGAACTCTGTTTCAAAAAATTAGGTGCGTATGTTAGCACAGAGTAAACCAAGCAATTCTGTATTTGCCTCTCTCCTCGTCTCTCTGTTCGTCTCTGGGTTATAAATACACTGTTCCAGAATTCTCTGTTAGTACAATAATCTAACATGAAGATACTTTGAAACCAAACCTGGAACATGATGGGTTGAGATGTAACTGATACCTTAAATTCTCAGGAGGTTCTTGGACAAGATGGGTTCACAAAGCTGGAACCATGGCGTGGTAGCAGGGCTGTGATGCCACTCCACATACAGATCTGTAAATAGCCCACATCCTCCTTCAGAAAATTGTAAACCACCACTTACATTTAGCTCTTCCCATTTCAAAGTTAGATTTCATGTTCAAGGTTGTTCGGGAAATGTGAATGGGCCTGAGGGCTTGTGCAGGGCTAGAAATATCTCCTCAAAATAATAATAAGGAACAGCTTTCGTGAGTCTCCATGGAGATTTCTTCCCTCTGAGCATCTTCCAAGGTCTTTGCCACAAGCAGAGCAGAATGTCTCTGTTCTTAGACCAGTCTTCCTGTTGTCCTCTGCCTCTTTGCATCTAGCTGGTGCCACACAACTATTATTAGTATATATAGCATTTATTTTATATTCATTTGCACGGTCCTCATTATAACTGTGGAGCATCAGTAACACTTTAATGATCATCCTTTAACCTTAGTTTTGCCCTCAAGAAATATCTTCTAGTGTCCCCCTCTTTCCTTCACTTCCTCTTATTCTGATCTTTGTCAAATTTCTGCTGTGTTTCTACCAGCACTTCATCTGTGTTAATTATTGTCATCCTTCATATTACAGCATTATATCCTTCATATTATGGTATCTAAAGTCTACACACTTCAAACAATATCACATAAAAATGCACTAATGTTTTAATTTGGAGATTGTTTTGCTAATATCAGTTCCTGTGAATGAAATGTACTACAGTCCGGTTCAATAAATACAATCCTCACCATTTACTAGAACAGAAACTAAATCCTGGATTCTTCTATTCTGTGGAAGCTATTGTAATTTACTTTTAACATTTTCTCCCTATTAAATGGAGCTTTGCTCTATTTCCTGGTATGCACAGAGAAGTTCCATGCAGCAGCTCTGGGTTGTATACATTTTTGATTATAACTCCTGGCTTCATCCCACTCTGTCTGCTCTTCAGCAGCACACTTGCACTCCTCCTTCTCATGGAGATCCACAGCAGAGAGAACGGGGTGAGGAAGGTGGGTTTACCTTGTCTCCTAGTTATGTATCCATGTGTGGTTTAGATCAAAACATCCTATAGATCCAATTCTCTAGATATGAGGGTGTAAATGATGGGACTGTCGTTAGACTGGGCTCAGCAGAGGGTCAGCCACAGTTGGGGATAGGGTGTGATAGAGGTTCTTGGTGCCTCCCTGCTGCAGCCCCTCAGCCCAGAGAGCTGACAGTCTTCACTGGACTGTCGGAGATAGTCATTAAACCTGGTCATAAAGAATAACTTGTCATCCGGCAGGAATATCAGACACTAGACAGAGCCCTTTAACCTTGCTTGACCTTTCACTGTGCTTCTTGACTAATGAGATGAATGGGAGTTTTATTGGTGTTTCTTGACCTAGATCTTTTACATGACAGTTCTGTGTATCTGAGCAGCCTAATGCCTTATGTTTTGTAAATCAATATAGCTTTATCTATTTTTTGAAAACTAGAAATGTTTTTTTCAGGCCTACTATCACATCCTATAAATAATATTGATTTTGTTTAGCCTGAAAAACTATTTAATTTTGAATTGGCTCACCTTGTTAGTCAAATACAGTTCTTGGGTAAGTCCAGGCATGATTCTCATGCATCACATTACATTTATCCCTACGGTATATGCAAACCTGGTGTCCATAATTTGAGAATGGGATCTCCTGTGAATAAACCACATCTAAATTTTCAGTTTATGGATGTTTTTCAGACTCCAGGATTTAATGGGCCTATGCAAGAAAGCAGTTACAGCAGATTGCATAGCCTCATGTTACCTTGGATAATGCAAATGTTATGGGACAGTGATGGGAATTAAGCAAGCCTTACATATTGTTATATGAATTGCACTGGCTTGGCTAAAAAGAAAAACTTAAAAATTGATTTTATATTTACTTCTTCAGTATACAGTTTTCCTAGTCATTATTTTCCTTCTATCCTTCCATCCTTCCATTGATGGAAGTACAAATACTCTCATTACCATTTGTGATGTTCTGAAAGGAAGATTTCAAGACAAGAGAGCAAAATAATAGTATTCAAGGTTTTGCTCCAACTGTTGTCTGCTGTGTTTGACACAACTAATCTTATACTGCAAGTACAACTGGAAAGGACCAGTACAGTGATGTTCCTTGCAGGTGCTTCAGACGTTTCTAAAGGCACTTTTGAACATAACTTCTGACATTTCCTTGTCGTGGGTTCAAGACTTCTGTACCAGTATTTTCTCAGTTTCCATTATGAAATAAAACAAATTCCTATTTACTTACATGCATGATGTAAGTAAATCCAATTTTCAAGAGCAAGTCCAATGAGACAGTATTTTAAAGTGCATTTCTCATTGTCCAACTCTGTGATAAGATTCTTATACAAGCCTTTGGATTGTATGGTAAATAGATACCCAATTAATCTGTTCACATATGAGACATAAAATCCTGATTTGATTATCCTCTCATAGCAAATGCTTGACCCTTTAGGTACCAAATAGATTATACAAAGATTGACTCTATGTAAGTACAGAATCAATTCATATACAAATGTAGGTATGATAGTGATTTTCAGCCTCATTTTTTATGTTAGCCTCATACAAATGCAACCGAGAAAGTGATTGATATGTTTCTCCGTTGAACTTCTGAGATATTAGTTTGCGTATCATTACTCGCAACTAGCTTTTCAATTCTACTGTTATTTACCTTTCTCCATTGGTCAAGCCAAAATATCAGATTGCTGAGTTACATCTTACATGGGAGAAAAAAGTAGGAATTGCAAGAAAGTCCGTCTGTGTATTTTTAAAGAAACAACAGAGAAGCCAAACAACTTTATATCTTAGTTCCAGAAATAAATGTATAATATTGTTTTCCAACAACATCATCTCATGGCTTTAAAAATGACTGTGTGAAAAGCACATAAGTCTATTTTGTATAAAAACTAAAGACAAAGTATTCATTTCTGCTTGTCAGGGGGATGCCCATGAGAATTTGCGATAGGCGTCTAAATGCGGAGGTGAGTAATAAGCAGGTATTGACTTCTATTGAGATCAGTATCGAGATTTGTTGACCCAAAGAGGTTACAATTGACTGAAGAGTGGGGCAGTAAATCTTGTTATTGAACAAAAAGCTAAAGTCAATATATGTATTATTATAAGCATTTTTCTTTTGGAAGAGATAATAAGGGCGGAGTGGTTTAAGACTTTAGATTTATATGGCCATGATAGCATACAGCTTCTATTAGTTAGTCAAAAGATAGAGAATGCCTGTGGTTTTTCTGTGGTTTTTTTTTTATAATATATTTATTTTTAATACAGCTTCACCAATCATACCAAAGCAGTAAAGCCTGCATCAACTTTCACGTCATAAACCCTTATTCTCATTGTTTTATAACTCAGCTATAAAGGTTATTTTCGGATTGAAATTTTGTCTGCAAGCTCTTTGCCTAAGAATCATTTTTTCCCCAGAAGGGTGAAAGGAATAAAGATGATCTATTGAACTATTTATTGAATTTTAGAGGAGAACAGAAAAAACGTGTTGTGATTTTTATATAATTCAAGATTTAGATTGTATTCCTTATTGAATATTATTTTCTGCATAAAGCTAGGATTTACTTGATCATAAAGGTGGGGGCTGCAAATGCTCTTTCACTGCTTTGAAACATTTGCTAATATTAATCCATGCCTTGTATTGTAAACAAGTATTTTTATGATTCTTATATTTTAGTCCACTCCATTACGCTCTGGACAGTACATTATATTTTAGGTTATTGCTTGGAAAAATAAAGAGGAGACAGAGCACAGAAGGAAACAGAAATCCATCCAGCTGAAGATATTAAGCTTATTAATTAAAATCACATACATCCCATAGTGAGAGTGACTGAAGAAATAACTGCTGAATTGCTATTTTATAATGTTTATAGCTGTTAGTATCTTGGCTGCCAGTAGAAATGATCCTTCAGTAACTTCAAAATCCTCTAACAAAAATAATTTGCTGTTTTCCATTGCAGAAACTGTCTGCCTCCTTCATTCCTTCACAAGACCCTCCTATGTTTCTTTAGGATTCAGGAGCTTGTACTAATTCAGGAGACTCACTGAATCTCTTTAGCAGCACAGGCTATGATAAATGCATCAAACATATTCTCTGCTCTTTGCACTGGCTTGCTGTGAATTTAAAAGCAGACTCCAACTTGCCGTCCTTATCTTGGAGACACTCTGTGGCCTGGTGTCAGTGCAGAGAAGGCTGTGCAAGGCTCGCAGTGGAGCCCCTGCCTGTGCCACGGTGCCCGTGCAGTGCCCGGCACAGCCCCACTGCCAGCGCGGTGCTGTTTGGGGCAGGAGCGGAGCTTCCTTCTGCAGAGGGCAGAGAGGAATAATCACCCCATCCAAACCCTGGGACCAAGATGTGCTCTGCTCCCTGGTGAGGTGCTCTCTGGTGGTGACATTTGATTCATTTTCTTTCTGCAGTTCCACATTGTTGGCATTGGTTGCAGTGGCATTCCGAACTGTGAATTACCGCACTGAGGCCAATGGCCGGAACCTTTGCCCTCCTTGGAGAAGTTCTCCTCCTGTCTCTGTATAACCTCATGGAAATATCATCATTCTTCTGTCAGGCCTCAGCATGTTGAAAGAGAGCTTGAGACTTGTATCTCCTGCAAGAGCAGTATCTTCAGATTCCCTGCAAAAAAATTAATTATGCTGTTTCCTCTCTCTGTTTATGCAGTTTCTGTTCTGGAAATGTACAGGAGGGAAGGGCAACTGTCTCATCCCCAGTTTTGCCCAGTGAAGATATGCATGCAGGTAAACGCTCTTTCTCTGACTAAAACTGTATGACCTGGCAGCCTTAGTTTCCCACAAGGCTGACCATTGTTTCAGGTCTTTTGACTTTGGTTCTTCAGACATCAAAGAGAGAAGCCACAGAAAAAAAACCATTTTGCGATCATTAAAAATGTCATAGCTACATTTTTCTCTTAATACAGAGTGATTATTGGTACCTATAGCATATCAATAGTGCATCTGGCTGGGGATGCTGGTGTTGGCAGCGCAGTGGCCTCCCTTCCAAACACGAATGAGAAGCTCAGCTTGCACTCTTACCCAACATGGACAAACTGACTGGGACACATTTGCTTATTGCACCACAAATATATAAATTACTCTGTTTGCGTTTGGCCAGAGAAGGGTTCTATGAAGAAGTTTGACTTAGAGTATCTTGGGATCCAATCACAGTCAACTAAAGCTATGGAATGTCCCGCTATATCTGAGTCTTTCCATTCACTACAAGATAATGTACTTCAACTTCATTTGCTAAAGTATACGGAGGAATAATTTCTTTTCAAAAGCAAGCATCTCCCTGGGAGCACACTAGGCTTTCAGAAATCACAGCATCTGGCTGTGTTTTGCCCACCTTATTGCAGTTTCTGTCTGTTGATGCTGATGTGTTTAAATTAGTTGCCGTTTCCAAACTCTTATAAAGGCTGTTGATGAAAATCTTCTGTAGCAACACAGTGCCCACAGATTTATTCAAACATACTGAAACTTCATTAATTTCTATTCCCAAGACAGTTTCCAGCCTTCCCCTATGGATATGCATGCTGTTTAATGGCACACGAATTAGCATGTCTACTTGTTGGCACCAATGTGATAATGGTGGCAATTGCTGATAAAGTCATTAGATGGAAATAAAGGATCTCAAATAAGTTAATGGTGAAAGACATCTGAATTTAGTAGGATCAGGTCTGACAATATAAAATGAATCTCTAATTTACTGAGCTTCAGTGTGGTCAGGTTCTGGCTTGTGACTTCTTGGTGGGGGGAGATTTTTTTAAAATTCTGGTTTTATGTTTGTTTTTTTTTGAAATTCAGCTGCTTTTTGGTGTATGACCCGTCTAAATGACTTTATGTCTGCTAGTCTCTATTTAAAATGTGCTTATAGCAAGTGAATTGTAAGCTGGATTTGTGAAGTAGAAGGGAAAAATCTACTTATGATGACATCCTTTTCCTGAAGCTTAAGCAAGGCAACTCTGCTCCTTCTGGAGGAGATACACCTTTTTGAATATATACAATTAAAGCACAGTTTTAACAGAGAATAAAAAAATATTTATTGAACTGATAAATATTGGGCTGAATGTCCCATCTGAAAATGACAGCTTCTTTTCTAGTTTGAAAACAGTGCTTCTGCACTCATTTTCCCATGCGTATAACATTATATACTTTGGTCATAATGAACTAGGTTTTGTTTGCAATACAAGGTAATATGGTATCAGAGTAGTGCCATGCAGATCTATAATGTGGTTTTTAGAAGTAATATGTTAGGATTATTTATATGGGGTTTATTAGTGTTCACAAAGACAGCCTGATCATGATTGATTTGATCACAATTTGCTCTTCTTGATTTTCCACTCCTCAAAAATTACTGTGTTTAAGCTAGAGATGAGTTGCTCCCCCCATTGTTTGCCAGAGTGAGACTAAGAGTAGAATAATGTCAAGCCAGACAAACTTAAACTGGTAAAGTTACTTACTTTTTTTAAAAGAGATGGGCATAGTGGGTTATGTGGGTGAAAATCTTTCCATCACAAGCCTTGCAAGCCCAAAGAACATTTTTATTATAGTCAGTGGGTGATGTTCAAACAATGAGAAGTTGAAGAGCAAAAATGTGATTCTAGCTGATTCTTGATCTTGCTGGGGGAGGCTGTGCTTTGATTTCTTTCAGGAAAGCATAGTGAACACCTGTGGTATTATATGAAACATTACATAATTATGAGAGTAACACCTTGAATTTTCTTCCTCCAGCTCTGGCCTAGTCCACCTCTAATGAAGCAGCAAGTGTGTGGTGAATTTCATTCAGATTTGTCTTTGTGGCTTGGCTTGCAAGTGTGTGAATCTATACTTGTTGCCCTTGGCATATATTTTCCGGTGTTGCTTTTGGTTGTATCAAGAAGAAAGCCTAATAATGTTCCATTAAAATAAGTTTACTATTCAGACCAGATTGTTAACTTTTCTTTCCTTCTATGCTTGCAGCCTAATTGTATTTAATATCACAGTTCAGAGCTTTCCTCTCTCTGCTCCTTGTCACTCAAAGGTATTTAAAAGAGGATTTAAACCAGCTATTTTTTGTGCTTAATCCTTGATCCCTTCTGCCCGCCCCCCACCCAAGCTTGCTTATTCACTGGAAATAGCAACCTATGTCCACATTTTACAGCTCTAGTTTATAGTAATTTTGTCTTATGCCTTTGGAGTATAAATGATTGTTCAATTCAGACATTCAAAATGAAAGTGAAGTTGCCAGTGGAAACGGGTGGCTCATTATACAATGAGTAAGTACAAATAAAAAGGTGCCTGAGTATAATAATCAGAAGATATTGACTTCTGTTGAGGTCAGGATCACAATTTATTAACCCAAGAGGTAAATATTGACTGAAACTTTGGACAGCTTTTTTTTCTTTTTTTCTTGTAGCCCAGAGAAGACAGTAGAGAATTTACTAAATAACTCCATCTGCCTGCACAGTGAGATGGAGACTTTTGCATTTTGCCTGCAGTTTTATGCTCGTCTTTTGTTCTGGCTCTCCCAAGGGCAAAACGATTTATAGCATATTTTAGAGGAATATTTAAAATCATGCTAATTGGTGTTTCTTTGTATTTAATTCTGCTCTTGACAAGCCAGAATCTTCTTCTGAAACAGGTTTTGCTCCTGAGTGCTTCATCAGATGATCCCAGCACCAGACTGGCTGTCTATGTTTTCTCTTCTGCCCTGGCCATCACCCTCTCTGATGTCTCAGGGACCATTTTCTTTTTGTGTGTCTAAAAACACTAGGATATTGTAGCAGCCACCAGAAAGATGCCCTTGGGAATGATGACTCCTTGTGCTGCTGACATCCTGCTCACTCTCCAGAAAGGGCTTTAGAATCAAACTATTTGCCAGCTGCAAAGCCCCTCATTTGACTAAAATGAGCTCCCCGAAACTGCTATTCTGCGATCTTACTTGGAAAACCAGGCTTTGCCAGATTTCCTCCATCTTTGACTGTTCTGTCCTTCCAAAGGGCCACTATGTAGTCTCCATCCTCAGATGCTGATAAATTGCAATTGACATAGGGTGACATGTTCCTTAGTGCACTTCCCGCTACTCTCCTATGACAGTTTGTGCTAAAAGATATGTTTTGAATTCCTGGGGCAGTTATGAACCTTTTCAGAGCAGGGCACTTGCCTGCTTTAAATTCAGACACATTTTTTTTGTACTTACCTGTCGTCTGTTGTGTTACTAGTAATTTATGGGATGACAGTAATGTGACTGGCATTTTGCAGGAGGGTCTCGTCCCTGCCGCAGGAGCCACATGGGTACAGAGCTACAGCAGAGCTGGCTGGGAACCAAGAAGTGCTGGTTGCCAGATGCCAACTCATAGCCACCACATCCCTGCCACCACATCTGTGTAACATTTACAGCCCGTGACCTTGCTGTCTTCCAGGCTAAAAGAGATGATGCAGTGAGAATCAGTGTGACTTTATACTCTTACAGGCTATTTTCTAGATTTGCTTCTTTCCTGTCCTCCCTTTTCTCCCTCTCCTTCTCCTTCCCCAATTTTCTATTTTGTCAAATATTCTGCTGCTTCTTTCTCAGTGTCCTTGTTGTCCACTGTCTTGTTTCGTTGCTCCTGCATCCCCCTCAGAGTAAGATTTTTTTGTTGTTCAGAGTTTGATTTACATGAGGCAATGCCAAGCAGAATTGGGTTTTCACACAATTTTAGACGTTACAAAATGACTCCAGGGAGTTTTTAGCAGGAGAGGACCGCTTAGTAAGCGTTGGAAATGTGTTCTGAACCTGCTGAAAAAAATCCATCTGTGAATAAGGATCTGAAAAGTATTAGTATCAAATTGTTATATATGAGAGCAAAGTCTTAAATCAAGCTTTGTAATCTGTGGATTTTGGTGGAGATGGGGACATCTGCATAGCAAACATAAGCCTGCTGAAACTAAGCTTTTCCTCACTACCTCTGCAGAGCCTTCAGAATGGATCCACAGATTCCTGAGCATTCGTGGACACCAGACTGGAAGTCACAACCACAAACCGGACTAACGTTCTGCAAGGTCTGGGAGAATCTTTCCTGCTGAAACTCAGATTACAGCTTTGCTGAGCTGAGTAACCTGCCCTGAGTGGCAACACAGGCTGATTTAGACATTGCTCAAATCACTCTGTAGAGTTAGAGAGTCTAGTGGATCTGTTGCATCTTGGAGACTCCAAGTCTGTTCTGCACTGTTTTACATGTCTGACTTGTGTCTGGTGTAATGCAGCCTGCATGACCTGATCCAGAGAAACCCATTACCTCTACCAATGAGGCCCATAAAACACTTTTGGGCTCAGACCAAAGTAAAAGGGCCAGAGGAAATGAGTTTAAAAGCCTGAGCACATCTCCCCATGGACATAAGAGTCCACATCACAAAATTTATATACATAATTTGAAATAATTGGCAACTTTAGGAAGTAAAGCAAAGAGCAAAATGGAGTTACTTTAGCCAATTATTTATGATCACCTTTTGTCTCAGAGACTTCTGTAAGGAAAATCTTGCCTGTTTGGTAGTTCAAATCATTAATGCTGAAGCTGAAATACTCAGTTCTCTACTCTAAATGAGAATCACACATTCACTGTCTATTTAACAAGCACATTTGCTGTATTTTTAAATTTAAATGATTTGTCTCCCTTTATTTCTCTATGCTTAGGTGAAGACTCCCTCCCCAGACTCTGCTGCCTCCCACTTGCCCTCTAAGCACTTCGTATGAAAGGTCATGAGCTCA